CTGCCTAAACTGGAGTTAAGAGGCACGTCTGTGCTGACAACCACCACTTAAAAACTTCAAACTTGCTCTTACACTGAGCTTTCAACCAGTCTCAGAAAACTATTGGGTGTTTTCCCACCAGAAATTCAGTTTGGTGGAGTAAATGACAAAAATAACCTCCAATGTGCTTAAGTATGCCTCCTGTGAGTGTTTATACCTTTTATTAATTTATGGCCGTGCTTATCTCTCCCGAACCTCATGACAAAAGAGAGTCAACCTGCCATATGCCACTGAATACAAGCCATAAATCTATTAAGCTGTGTTATGATTAGATCATTCAACTATAAGCTTAAGCAAGAGCATCAGATGGGCAGTTTTTCCAATGGTCTTTTGTTGTTACAACTTGTTTCTTAACCTGGCAGCTGAGGACAAGGGGATTCAAGTAAGACTGTCAGCAATAAAAGAGAAATTGGAAAACGGCTTTCCAGTTGCACTGAGATAAAAGCTCTTTTGGCAACAGCATTTCAGCACATGACCTGCTGTGTCTGCATGTTCGGAGGTTCAAACTCAAACAAATTTTGAAACAGCAGATTTTTGTGCCATTTGTCTCTGCTGAGTCCTGCAAAAGGAAAATGTCCATGCTCTGGTTTTGAGTGCGTGCGTGTTTGAGTTGGAGGTACTAAAAAAGGATGACTGAGTGAGGAAAGTATTGCAGCTGCAAAAGATTGAAGTCATCATAATTTAATTTCAACTTTTAAATTACATTGTTTGCAGACATATTAAAACTATGCAGATAGTACTCTGTGTTAGAAACAGAAGGATTCTGTGATAATTATATAGCAAAGAGATCCTCCTGTAACTCTTGTGAATCTGATGTCATACCTCACGTCAACCCAGTAATCAAGTGATTCAAGAAAGGAAAGAATGTATACTAATGGAATAGAACACTCTCAATGGGGGTGATCAAAACAATAGTTTTCATACCGACAGTCACTGTTAAGAGGTGGAAAAAGACAATTACTGTTTGGGGATTTGGGAAAGAAAGGTTTTTCTCAGCTTTCTACATTTGGTACAGTACAACTCTTGATAAATATTTTGACGCCGTAGTAGCGTGAGGTGTTGGTTGTTTGATTTGTAACAGGGTGATTTTTGCCTTGATCTTGTGGACAGTAGCTCAACAGCTGAGGACTGCTTCTGACTTTTGCACAAAATGTGTTCATGGTTAAGTAATAAATCAGACAAAGAGACTTTTCACATCTGTTCACCCAAGTATCTAAGCGCCAGAAGATGTCACCGTGCACCATGACAAAAAAAGTGTCCAAATCGCAGCATTCCAGCTGCCTCACCAGAAATGCGTCACGTTGAAATGTGTTGAGTTCAAAAGAGGTTTCTCCTGAGTTGTATCACTGTGTCAATAGGCTCTAATTTGTACCAGAGAAAACAAAAGACTTATGTGATCATATCATACCAATAAAAGATCATACTAAATGATCCCTCAGGAAAATATCAACCCAGATAAACAGGCTCTTTGGTGTTACTGATGCGATGATCCACTTTCCCACAGGTGCTGGTAACAGGTGGGGGTCGAGTGGAGTGGGGAAGAGGCCTCGCCAGCATGGCCGGCTGCCACAGCGGGTCAGGGGATCATCTTCCGCCCAGCTGCTGATGCCCTGTTATCCCCGAGCCATTCATCACGGCTCGCTGAGAGTCAGATATGCACTGCCCCTGAACCCCCCCCCAGCTCCTAGCATTCCTCACTTTCCCCTGTGGATCTCGCCGCTGATAGCTGTCAAGACCATGCTGATGTACCCAAACACCCACCCACCATGTTTTTGCATGTATTGCAATGCTGGTTTGAATCTGTTTTAAGAACTTAACCACATGCCACTTTTCACGTTTGTTTGTCTGTCTGTCTGAACCCTTCACTGCAGCCTGTGTCTTTAAAATCGCTGTATACAGTACTGAACCTAAGGACCAGACAGTGTGTTTACAAGTTGTAGCTCCATATTTATAAATCATGTATACTACACCCTTTTGCCAACCAATTTGCAATGCATGCTATACAGTTTTAGATGTTTATTCTCTTTCCACACATCCGGTGGTTTCCATTACTTTCTGTACAGTACAAAAATCAATTACCAGACTCTCCAAACTTGTTTGAGTTGTGTAATCCATCATTGCAAACATCAAGCATTAATTTTGTTAATGGTACCATTATCGTTGCGTGGTAATGCAGTTTAAGTGCAGATTGATTTAAAGAGTTACCGTCTAACAATAATGTAACTGACAAAGGTTAAAGGTACACTCTTTAGTTTTTGACCACTAGTGGCACCATGGAGCAGTATTTTGTCGCACATGTCCTATTTTATATTGTATCTGGTGCTCCAGAAAAGGGCAATGAAGAAAAAGACAACTAGTTTTAAAAATATAAAAAGAAAAACATGTTTTCTTAGATGTTTCAACATGTGTGTTAGGCAAGGATACACACAACAATGAGACTGAATATAAACACTGATAAAGAAGAAAACTCAACAGGATGCAGTGATGCGGACCTGATGTTCATTATGTAAAATAAAGTTTTAATAGCCTGTTGATTTTCGCATCATAAAAAAATGAATGGAAACCAAAGAATGTCTGGAATGAATGAATGAATGAATGAATGAATGAATGAATGAATGAATGAATTGAAATGTCTGAAGCATAGCAGCGACATTGCCTGGTTTTCAAAATGATTAGCTGTGATGTAAAGTAGCCCTAAAAATATATTTATAGTATATATAGTTCAATAAATTGATGCAACCAATCTGGGATGTTTTCTACCCATAACGTTATGGCTGTGGTTTGCTGCCAAGCAACAGCAGCAATAAACTTCCCTAATTATGATGTTCAAACTAGTTCATAATACAAAAAATAGCCGGCATGGAAACACACGCCCAGTGTTTTGACACATGTCTTCCTCAGGAGTGTGCTGGCTGTTTGCACGCGAATCTGGCATTACTCCTGTATCTGCTTGCCCTTAAACAACATATCCAGGAGACATAAGGTAATCCACTGGTGATATACATAACTGACTGATGCTGAGGCTAAGTAAAGATGAAATCAGAGGGAGCTAGTGCTAGTACACATACTGACAGACCCTTTGGCAGGGTGGTCGGCAGGTAACTTCATGTCATTATTGATCAGGTGATTCAACCGATAGATTTAGTCAATATGTTGATGGATTGGAGGTGAGTTAGTACAGGCAAGGTAACAACTGTCTTGCAGCAGCATGGGGAGGTTACATCTAAAACAATGCATGTAAACTGAAGCAATGACTATAAAGGTAAAGTGCTGACTTTCAACTTAGTTTGAGTGTGATTAAAACCGTAGCCCTATTTATACATAGTCACCCAGTTTTAGGGGCCAAAATGTAGGACAAACTAAAATAATCTTTAAATTAAACCATCATATTTAATATTTCATATAATAATTAAATTATCTAATTATAATCATCTGAAGTCTCCAACACAAATAAATCTGCGGACACTTGGATTTTCCCTGGTGATTCTCTGCCAGACCTGTAGTTGAACCATCATCGCTTTGTGCATGTTTAACTCGCTTTTTGCCCTCAAATCATCATCAAATGATATTTATTTACAGTGCAAAATCACCATGCAGCATGGTCTCACAACACTTTCCAAAAAATACACAGTCAAATACAATCAAGTGAAAAGATCCGTTGTATTGAGGTCAGGTGACTGACCCAACCATTTCCACTGTTCTGTTCTTGTCTCTGTGTTTAGGATCATTGTCCTGATACCAAGCGCCTTACACTGATTACCAAATATGGATGTCAACAGTCTCAAATTAAAGCTGAGAGTCTACCCTTCAACCCCATAGTCATTGTTTTCTTTCAAATCCAATGTTCTGCAGTACAGAGCCAAAATAAAGTGCCACTTTGGGTAATGCAAAAAAATAAAACAAAGGACTTTTAAAGGGAACTACACAGGGAATGTGTTTCCTCACACGTCCATATGATGCAGACTTAACTCTTAACCAGAGCGGTCAGTGGTCAGTGAGGACAAGTCAGGAGTAGGTCATGCTTCAGTGTCTTGCTCAAGGACACTTGAACACAATGACACAAGGACAGAGATCCAGTAGAAAGACACACTGACTGTCTAGACCAGAGACCACCCAGTTACTGAGAATGTCTCTCTAGCCAACAAGCTAACCTGCTTGCAGTAAATAAAAACTCTAAAAAGATAAAAACGAAGCCATGCAGATGCCTGACAGAGAGGCTTATTTTATTTTAAGAGACTTCGTAAAACCACATCATGATGATGCTCAAACTGATCTGCAGAGACTATAAAATTGTGTTCTGGATTAAATTAACACCACTTGTGTAAAAAGATACAACTTAAATTTCTAAAGTATCATTGATGAGCAAGGAATTTTGCAATTTACTGCTGGGGTTAGTGTTTGGCATCAATTTCAGTGTGCAGAAAGCAATACAAATATATGAATATATGAACTGCACGACAAGACAGACCATGTCAAATGCATTGTAAATAAATAAAAGACCTACTAAGTCTGTGCAAGCTGTACACTTTTAACTAAGCTCCTTAAAAAGAAGTGTCAAAAATATACATATTAATACAGCAGATGCCATTCTAGAGGTTGCCATCACACTGCAGCCAGTCATGTTTATTCAGTCTCAAGTCTAACATAAATTGAATAGATATTATTTGGGCTAAATAATGTCAGTTTTATGTTTTTTTAAAAACTAGCTAGGAATGTATCAGTGTGCAACAAGACAATATGGTCCTTTTTGGTTATTTTTGCTAAAATAATTAGTGAAACTGTAAAAAGTAAGAAAGAAGATACTTTCTTAAATAAGGTTGGGGATTTAATAATTCATTGTGCTTTTTTGACAGTTCAGAAAAAAAGCATCATTTGCATTTCCTCTACAAAACAAAACAATGCAAAGCAGTTCTACAATGGCTATACCTACACAGTAACCCCAGCCCCCTCCCAGCTCTTACCACATTGTAGCAAGACTTCTTGTCTGATCCAGTGAAGTGATAGAGGTCTACTGTGTTGCACATCTGCATGTACATCCTGAACATGTTGTTGATGTGTTTCAGGGACATGATGCAGACGGCTGAGTTAGAGGTCGGCTCCGGAGAGTTTGGCTTTCCTCGGGCAAAGGCGGTGAACAGCACGTCATCATCTTCCTCCACTTTCAGCTGCTTCTGCAGTTCAACATCAGCGCCCACTTTAGTCACATAGGCTGCCTGGAGGATGTTGAATACCTTCACATCTTCCGTAGAGCGCCGTCGCCTTTTATTGGTGCTGATGCATTCAAGGGGCATCTCCACGTAACGGCGGATCACATGGTCTGAGGAGCACATACGGACTATGCGGGTGTGGTAGGCCTGGGAGTCCCTGTTCACCCGCTGCACTGTGAGGAAGTAGGTGAAAGGTCCACTGTGGAAGGAGTAAACATATCGCAGGTAGTAGTTTCCACGTAGAGATGGAATTAGGTCCATGTATGAGCGGTTGGAGAAGAAAGTGAAGCCATTCTGGCTCGTCTTCATCTTCCGCAGAGAAATAGTATGGGGATGTGTTGCCCTGCTTGTTATGTTTCCTATGCCTGGGATCTCAGAGTTCCCAACAAAGAATTTGATGACGTTGCTCTCCACATTGAGCACCTGAGAGCCTGAAGGGCTGACCACAACATCCGAGTTGCTGGGTTGACCTTTGCCTTGCCTCACCTTGTCTCCGAAGCAGTACACCTGTTCGTCTACGGTTTTTGGACTAATGTCGTCATCCAGGACATGACGGCGGCAAATACCGTTGTCTGCAGAGCCGCAACTATACAACCCCTTATCATAAATGTTCTCCACCACCAAGGCGATGTTGTGGTTGTCCATCCTGTCATTGCTGGTCAGTTTCTTGCCACAAGTCTCGTTGGCAAGCAGCGGCCCTGTGTGGTACTCTGACAGCTTTGTGAGGTTCGGGGCCAGGGCATAGATTCTGTTTACAGCCCCGACATAGATGATCCCATCCAGCGTCACCATGTTCTGGATGGGGAAGTCTGCCGTGAATGTTGGGAGCTCGTAGGTGACTGAGAGGTTGAGTTTGTTGGTCTCAGGTGAATTATCACACTGGTCCTGTGCACTGGGACACAAGGCCCACAGCAGCATGATGGCATGAAGCGAGTGGAGATTCATCCTATAGGAGACATGAGAAATGAGCTGGTAAGGCATCCCTACTGGAACACAAAGAACTCAAAACATTCATCACAGATATCTTTGAATAGGTGGCCTCAATTGTCTGGAGTGTGAATGTGTGGAAAATGGGGCAGTCTGTGCTGAATAGGAATCACTGAGGAGAAACAAGGGGGCCATCGAAATCCCTTTTTAGACTCATAAATGGAACTGTATCAGGGTATAAAACCAGGGTTTGCTCACTTCACCACAAGCAGTGAAACCATTCATGCTGAAGTTAGTGAATACTTTATGGTGACACACAGCTTTGATATCAGCCTCCTAATCATCAGTGCTTCTACTTCTGACTCCACTGACCCTAGACAAGCCAGCAATGAGACCTGCGTAAGCACTTCTGTGGTGCTTTCTGTTCCCTAGTGACCACAGCGAGAGGCCAAGTAGTGAATCACCCAGAGAGCAACCACAGGCCTAAGTTTAGACAGCAAGGACCCAAGGGAGCAGAGATAAACTTAATTAAAACAAAAGAGGCAGGAGGGAGAAGGCAAGCGGGACTATTCTGCAAAATGATAAATAACACCAACAACTAAATGGTAATCTACTGGGAGATGCATTTAGTGGAGGATGGGGTGGAGGGAGGAGAGCAACACCAGAGAATCTGCAAAATGTGCATTTACACGCTCCCTATCTGGATGTGGTTATAACATGATCCCCACATGTAAAACAAAACAAGGCAATAACAACCAGCACAGTACGTTTGGTTTTCACACTCATGCCCACAGTGATGCATAAATTCAGCGAACGGTGTCTCATTGTTAGCGGCTCATTTGTTCGGGAGATTTTTCATATTATCACAGTATTTCAGAAGATTTTTTATAGTGTGAAGCAGTTTATGTTAAACGGCTTTTGTATAAAAAGTGCTTTACAAATAAAGATTGATTGGTTGATTGAAGATCTAAAGACAGATAGACTTAACAGGTAGCCTACTTGTAGGCAAACTTCTATGAAAGTTTACAGCAGAGAATATTACCAATAATTGCCAAACACATAATATAAGAGTCTGAGGCAACACGGTAGAAGAATAACAGCGATTTAGTAGAAAATAAAATAAGGAGCATATATTTAGAACCCCAAAATACACGTTAAGATTATATTACAGAATATTACACCATATTAGAGGCAGTACTTTTTTAAGCATATTGATGAGTATCGTCTTGTTTTGGTTATGAGTAGCCTAACACATTATTGCGCACCTGCACCAGACACAATAAATTTACAGTCTCTTCGCATGGCTGTTTTTTCAAAGGACAAAGGACGGTGGGAAACAGTGAAAATGTTTTCATTTTGAGAGGAAAGTGACTCATGGCGAAAGGTCTCTGAAAACACATTTGGGAAGTTGGTGAAATTGTGTTAGGAGCCAGAAAAAACATTTCAAAACAAGCTGTGATATCCAGAGGAGGAGGAGGAGGAGGAAAGGGTTAGGAGTTTCAGGGTCAGGGTTTCTGCGTTTTTACGCATGAATATGCAGTTTGAGTAGGATTAATAAAGAGAAAAGTAAATAAACTGTGAGAAAATGTATAGATAACAAACTCACCTGTTAGCGAGCAACAGTGTTTTACGTTCCGCTGATTCAAATCATATTCCGCTAGTCTCTCCAAGAGCGGGACTTCTGGACTTTCTCATCAAGTCCCAACTGGTCGCTGTAGATGTTCCACTTCGCTTCTCCGTGAAAAAACTCGTAACAAAAGTGGCCAAATTTTTTTCTCAATCCGACTTTACCTGTTTTCACACCAGTTAACCTCTTGTTCGTTGCTCTCCAGCTGTAACCGGTGAGAGTCAATGACTCACTGCATCCAGCAAAAACACGCTGCTGCTGCTGTTGCTCACGTCTCAGCTTCTCTTAAAGCTCCGCCTCTTTCTCTCCAAACTGTGTGACGCGTCCAGGTGCTGCTGCGGCTCCTCGGTCTGTGCAGCTCAGGTGAGAGACCCAAGGAAGGAAAGCACATTTGGAAAACCGAACAGTATGAGCTCTAGTTAGTGATTATCACGTGGCAATAATTGAATGCATTATTTTAATTATAATGAACACTGAACTAAATTTTCTTATGTACATACTAACTGTAAAGGAATTTAACATGAAATTGGTTTTGATAGATTTATTCACCAGACTCTGAAGAAGTGGCGTTTTACAACACAACATAGGCTACTAATATGCTCTTGGTTGAATAACAAAACTCTATAAACGTTCAAAATTAAACAAAACCCAAACAAATGGTCACATAAAGTGCATGAAAGGAGGTATTTCTTTCTTCTTCCACCTGACTCTCCTCCAGCACCCCTGTGAGTCAGATGACTGGTTATAATGTTAAAATGGCTCACTCAGCCATAAGTAATGAGCTAAGTTATAAAGGCTAAACCAACTGTATGTGTGTGTGTGTCTCAGCCATGAATCACAGTGCCCTGCATAAAAAAATCCTTTGTCCCACTTCCTGAATGGAGGGCAGTTGGAATGAAGACTGGAAACCCTGATAACAGAGTGTGGATGGAGAATTAATAGGTACAGAGCTGGCGAGAAGCGGCACAACGGCTGTTTGCATTCACTTTCTGACAGATAGTGACATGTGAGGGTTTAATGAGACGGACAGTCAGAGGATGAGTGTGTTCAAGTGAGTAGAGGAGTGATGTGATGGAATCTGTGACATCTTCTATGTAAAACTAGACATATCACTGGATGCAATAAGTGTTTCAGTGAGGTGAAGTGTCATTACAGAGCAATAGTTTCCTCTCTTCTTCTCCTTTTCCAGTTGTTAACGACAGCAAAGCTCAGCTGGTTTTGCTGTATTCAATCTTGGAATTGAAACTGATCATCTTTGGCTTCACATGGAGAGAATCTGGAGAAACCCTCCCAGATTCATCATCCTTTCTACTCCCAGATTTCCCAGAGGACAACACTGTTACCTCTGACATCACACCAGAGAGCCCTTAAGCTGTCACTGTACATCATCAACCTTTATTTCTTCTCAAAGGAACTTTGAAGAAGAATCTTCATTTGCAATAGTGTTAATGAATACATTGTCAGAAACTGAAGGGTTATGTGCAGGACTATTTTTTGCCATGATGCAGTGAGTTCCTAGAGTCTCGTTGTTATCGTGAGGTTGTCAGGAAACCAGCTGAGACTCCAGGAATAAGCGAATAAGCATATTTTGCCAAATGTTGAATTTTAACTCAACTTTCAGCATAATTATTTTCATTTTCAATTTAAGCTCAGAAATCAATGTGTCTTACTGGATTAAACCATTTTGTCCAATAGTGACATGAAACCCTTGAAGTATCTCTCCCTTTTACCTGCTCACATATTTGATCATAAATCTGGTTGAGAGCATCAGCTAAAGGCTCCAAATGTAATTAAATTCAAGTGTTCCTTCAAAAAAAGTACTCTGATAAACAGCCATTGTCCTCTTTGTCTTTTTTTTCCCGATGAGCCAGAAGTTTCACAACACACTCCCCCTCTCTCTGTAGTCTGTGTTTGTTAGAGGAACACTGTTTTGCCGTACCTCAGGGTACTTCTGCCACAGTTGCCAAGGGGTGTGTCTGACACAGGGTGTGTGTGTCTGACTGTATACCCTTGGGGTGTGTCTGTGTGGCTCCTGTGGTGGTAAACTCCATTTTGGCTTGGGCGCTTGTATTGGCCTATGGTCTTGGAGGAAAGCAGAAGAAGAAGAAGGAGAAGAAGAAGAAGAAGAAGAAGGAAAAGGTTGGCTTGGTGGTGAATCTCACACTGCTGGTATGCAGAATGTGGAAACCCCAAAGAATGACATATGCTGTAGGAATGATCTGCATCCTGCAACCACAACACCTGCAGCACAACAGCTATGCGCTTTCTATTTTCTGTGCATATTTTGGTCGAGGCTGCAAATTAGCTGAGATAAAAATACAAAGGAGAAGATTTAGATGTTTAGTTTGTGAGAGTTAAAGCGTCAGTTTATCCAAATAACAAAAAAAATGGACTCTGTCACTGGAAATGAATGTGGCCTTTTAATTTTTTAATAGATTATTGCTCAAGATCAGTGGCCCACATCACTAATGCAAACCTTTGCAGCCAGGTTCCTAAATCTGGTGGGAAAACCTATAACAAGAAGAGTGGAGGCTGTCAGCGGCAGATGGTTTTGAAATGAGCGGTACAACAATCATATATGGGTTGCAATGTTCCACTTGTGCCCATTTTAGCCAATGGGTGTATCTGCAAACTTGTTCAAATAAAATCAAAACTATCTTCATGACTAAATACCACTTAAGGCAAGTGAGAAAATATGTTTTTTGTCGTTTGGGTGAAGTGACCCTTTAAACCCCACTACAACTTGCAGGCATCTGACTTATTATGGCACCATCTGCTGGTGCTCCAGGTAGACAGGCATGTTTTGGTCTCCAGGGACATGAAGGGAGCTTCAGGCCTGGGTATTTTCCGATCTACTGAATACAAAGTGAAGCAACTAATCTCACAGACAAACGCGAGTGATTGGAGGAGCAGGGCTGCACTCTGTCTTCTTCTAACCCTTCCTTTGCACCTAAACTTAGTCCAACACAGGTTATTTATCACCTGCAGGGTCAATACAAACCCTGGTTAACTGCTGACCGGACAGTAAACTCTGATTAATGCTCTTGACCCATCAGACGCCCCGGCTGCTTTATTCTGTGGATGGACTCTTTACCTCTCACAGTTTCTTTAGCTCATTGATGGAGTGGTGATAAAGTGTGCGCAGCCGTCATCACTCAGCTGTGTATCTCCATAGACAGCCTTCTTCAGCAGGATCTTTGCAATTTATGATAGATAACGACTGTTCACAAAAGATTCTAAAAGGTCAAGGGAGGATCTTAAGCTGATGTTCTTGTCTGTACGGTAATAACTCTTAACGAAAGAGCAGGTCGGTGTCTACATTAAGTATTGAGTGCTGTTGAAGAAGAGTGCTGAGAAATAGATGGTTATCTCATTTAATGCCTGCCATGCTCTGCAGTGTGTCTGAGATGGCGAAAAATTCTTTGAAATGTTTTATTGATAAAATAAGTTAAGTGACAAACTATCTGCTTAGTTAGATACAAACAAAAGCTAAAAGAGCTGCTGTCTAAGTGCACTGTACAATTAACAGCTGATTAATTACTTCTTTATTTAGGGTTTAAATTAGATTTTTCATGATATAATAAAAAAAACATCTGGAGTTTCCATTGCTCCAGGATTTTTAGGAATTGGATGTAAAGTCATGAAAAAACAAGACTATGTTACAGAAATTACAATCTTTCAAGGACATTTTTGAAATGAGTTGATTAAAAATAAAATAGAAGACTCTGTTTCATGTTGCTGTTATTCTATTTTTAAATGGATGTCACTGCTCACTGATGGTCATATTGTTCCCTGCCTAGACTGAACCCTTTGTCACCTTTTGGTTACAGCTTGGCAGTCATCAAACCATGCTGGATGGCTAGACTCCATATTTCCATGTCTGGAGACGTAGATCTCCGCTCCCATCTTCTAGTACCTGTGAGTTAGATAAAGGAACTTCTAATGAAAAAGGAAATCATAAGATTACAATCTCATACATTACAGGAAATGGTTACTGCAGCAGACAGACAAGAAAACTGTCAGTCAAGAAGTTGCTGCTACATCCGTATCTGACAATCTGCTCATATGAAGACCCACCGAAGATCATCAGTGGAGGTGTAAATATAATAAAGAAGAGGCAATATCAACTCAGTAAAGTACACATACTGTGTGGCTTTTAGGCCACATAGTCCATCCATATCTCAGTGATGAGATGTTTTACAATAGATATAGCTCAGAATATGTAATGTGGTCATGTTTCAGTTAATTAGACAGCTCTTAAATCTCAAAGTGATTGAGAATGACCGGGTAATTGGTTATTAGTATATGTTTGTTTCAAATGTCTGTAAATCAACTTAAAACCATGTTCAACATGTTGTAACATTTTGTTAAGAAGATAGTTTCGTCAATTGTGTACACACACTGTAAAAAAAATAAATAAATCCACTTGTACCCTATAAGAACTCAGCTGCAGATATACAGGACAAATGTCTCTTTGACACTAGTTACTGTAAAAAGTCCGCTCCCCCATTACATTAGAGATGCTTTTTCTGTAATGTAATCAAATTAATATAATAAAAAGGTCTTTACGGCATTCATTATACTGGATTACTCCATTTCTTTTTTCCTCTGCTGTGTCAGTCTCATCTTGTAAAACTGTTTATGGGAAGTCTTCAAGAGCACTTAGCCTGCTCGTCCTGGCTGTTTATCTGTGGAAGCTTTGACTAAAATAAACCACAGTCAAGTGCCAGGTGACAGTATGACATCTGGGCATTTTTAAGCTGGTTGCGCATTTGCCCTTTTCTCCACTTTTGTTTTTGCCCCCATTCATCATGAGCTGAACTCAAAGATCTAAGACTTTCTCTATGTACACAAAAGGCCTATTTCTTGCAAATATTGTTCTCAAATCTGTCAAAATCTGTGTTAGTAAGCACTTCTGTTGGCTGAGATAATCGATCCACCTCACAGGTGTGGCATATCAAGATGCTGATCAGACAGCATGGGTATTGCCTTAGGCTGGCCACAATATAAGGCCACTCGAAAATGTTTCTCTGTATTAGGGGGGTCCAGTGGGGTCCGGAAACCAGTCAGTATCTGGTGTGACCACCATTTGCCTCACGCAGTGTAACAGAACTCCTTCGCACAGAGTTGATCAGGTTGTTGATTGTGGTCTGTGGAATGTTGGTCCACGCCTCTTCAGTGGCGAAGTTGCAGTCAGGTCGATACCCTGATAAGAACGACGAGCATGCAGATGAGCTTTCCTGAGACGGTTCTTGACAGTTTGTGCAGAAATTATTTG